CGATTATTGCGAGACCGCTTTTAGTTTTTATAGTTGTTGGCAATCGGCGACTATAAAAAACGAGCCACAAGGCTCGAATAATCGTATCTCGTGTTCCCAAATTGTCCATTTTTATGCACGATCCAAACGTCAGTTAGGGAGACATTACTCTATCTAGCTTCGATCGAACCAGAGCTCGATAGGATTTTGGTAACAGCCCGTCGCTGTCTATTTTTTTCTTTTAAGAAACTTCAAACACGAGAGACGGATCTCCTAAATTTCCAACGCTGCGGCAAAGACCGACAGGAGACGACAAGCGCGAATTACTTTTTTGGAAAACGAATCGAAAGGTGTGCGACAGGCGATGGGGGCGGCCGAACATCGATCGGCGACACGGAACAAGCCGACGCTAACAAACTCGCCGACTAAAGTTTGCCCAACGGCAGAGACAATCAGCCTCGCAGTGGACCGTTTCAAAGTGAAACAGCAGAGAAAACACGGCTCGATAGTAAACACCCACGTTGCCGATCGAAAGCATCGAATCTCCTGCCGAACCGGAGTCTAAAAACTTTTTTCTCGAACAATGCCGTGGCAACGATATCGGCCGGGCCGATCGAAGGCAACTTTCACCGGAAGAGACGAGGTTCGTTTTCTTCGATCGAAAAGATCGACGAGGGTCCAACAATTGGAGTATATTCGATTCGCGCGTTCGGCGTCGATCCGGAAACTCGATACCCCGACAAGTTTCGAGGATAGTCCTCCCACGCGACGCACGCCCCGGCTTCGGAGACTGCGATCGCCTCGTTCTGTCTATTGCAAATCGAGTTAGCGAAAATTACGTGTTATTATTATAATCATATATATATTATATTATGTATATATTATTATATATTATATTATATAAATGTTATATTATATTATATTATTTATATATATTATAATTACGTGTTATTGGACGCGTTTCTGTTCGCGCGCGACACGCGGGTCTCTTGTCGCTGCGAGGGCGAGCTCTGTTCGGTCGACGCACGGCAGCGAAGAGCGACGAGATCTTTGCCAAAAATAAAAATCAAAGCTGGATTCTGTCGGCGCGTTCACCGTGGTCGGTTCGCGAGTCATCCGCGCGCGGGTATGCTCTCGTTGGCAGTCTTGGCTTCGACAGTCCAAAATGTTAAGGGTTCATTGTTACCAAAAATGTTTTCGTTGCACGCAACAAGTGGAGAAACGTGTTCGCGACCGAAATTACCGCGGGTTTCAGGATCAAAGTGTCCCCTTTGCTTGCAGCGAGCTTTTGAAATTCGAGCTGGAACTATCTGTCGCTGCTTCGTCGCAATTTGAACGACCCGAGCGCGCGTTTTCGTACGTCGTTATAGCAATCTGAACTTTTCCGAACGTAGGAGTTATCGACGGAAACCCAGCGTGCGGCTCGAAATATAAAATATTGTTGGAAATAAAACGATTCGACTTTGGTCGCCGATGGGTGGTAGCACAATTTCGACCGAGCTACTCCGGTGCGAGTTAAAAAGCCCGGGCTAGATCGATACCGGGCTGCGTCTACCGCAGCAATGCATAGATATACGCGCGTAGAACGTTGTCGGTCGTGGCATTCGCCTCTAAAAATGTTCGCGAATCGACCGGAAGCGCGTTACCCGCTACGACCGAGCGAACGACCGAACGCGAATTTTGCGCGTCGCGTTCGCGGCGAACGCGCCGTAAATAACGAATTTTCTGCGGATTAACCGGAGTCTTTCGCAACCGGCGACGATCCGAAATTCTGTAAATTTTTTATTCGTTCGAAGCGCGCCGCTTCGGCGCGAATGAAATTCGAGTTTTTATATTTTATTTATTTATTTTTATTTTAACACGGAAGGCAACAAGACCGATTTTCGTCGACCGCGCGCTTCGGACCGGCTATGAAATTTCTTCAAAGAAACATCCTCCTAGCTGCACGGCAGAGGCATCTCAATTTGCTTCTACCCGGTCGTTTCGACCCTTGCCGACTTCGTCCCGACAAAATTCGTTCGAGCTGTCCCTCGCTGCGACGAACGCGGCAATATGTCGCACAGAGGAGAAATTTATGAAAATTATTCTCCCATCCAAAGAACCCGTAAATCAATTCTCCGCTGTTTTCCAGCTGCACGATAATAGCGTCGCAATTTCCTCCCACGTTCTCGTTTTTGGACTTGTCCCGAGTTCTTTGAGCGCCCTTTGATACCGCGAGCACGACAATGGGGTGCGCGAAAGACGATTTACGAAGGTTATTCTCGCATCTAAGGAACTCGTAAACCTATTGTCCGCTTTGTCCGCTCTCTATCTTCATTTTTCTCGAAATCTTTCTACTCCGCGCTATCGTAAATCTAAGATAAACATAGCTCGTAATTGCTTTCTAATTTTCCCTCGATCGTCCCGAGACTTTGCTCTTGCTGCAAACACCGTATTGCCATCGATACAGTCTGTTCTATAAAAACGTCGCATAGATAGAGATCGAATTTATCCGAATTCCGTGCCGCGTGTAAAAGTAAAATTATCGGAGCTCGCGTATTCGTTCCGGCAAGAACGCGATTCGTCGTCCGTTTTCTGCGCGCGAGAAAACGAAAAGAGCAGTCGCGAAACGCGAGATCGATCTCCATCGAGGAGAAAACCTACATAGGATGCGTTTCCACGAGAGAAAACGACGTCGCAAAGGACGCCTCGGCTCGGTTCGATGCCATCGGGATCGAAAGTCTACGAGACGATAACGTACGCGATCCCGTTGGACGGTGACCCGGTCCTCGGGGACTTACCTCTTCAACGAAAGATCTCTGCTGCATATTGGTCCAGCACATTTTGCACGGGCACGCGTCCTTTTCCTTGAAACTGTCCGCTCTGTCCGCTCTGTCCGCCCTGTCTCTGTCTCTGGCGTTGAGCTGCGGCGGAGGCGGGGGCGGCGGCGGCACCGGCGGCGGCAAAGGGCTGGTCGCCACCTCGAGGCTGTCCGAGCTCGAGTTGTGACGCCTGGGCGGCGTGATGTTCGTGACGTTCCCCTGGGAGAGTTGCTTCGCGTCGACCGATCTGGCGTGATCGTTGCCGGACTTGGAGTGGGACGGCGACAGGTAGACGTTCAGCATGCACTTGCTCTGCTGCGGCTGCTGCTGTTGTTGCTGTTGCTGTTGCTGTTGCTGCGGCCGCAGAAAGTCGTCCAGAAGATAAAAGCTCTGCGCCCGGCTCGATCTGGTGGAGGTGACGCGGGTCTCGGCGCCGGTCTGCTCTTTGCAGACGGTCTCGCCGTTTCTCCTGCCGCGACACTCGTCCTCGAACTGGTGTCTGGCCTGCTGCAGGTGTCTCTCCTCCGGGTCCCGGTCCTCCGCGGCCTCCTGGTAGAGCCTGCGGCTGACCTTCGACCGGCCGGTCTGCCCGAACTCCCCGTTCTCCCTGTAAATGTCTCGGCTGACCCTGGAGACCCTCGCCGAGTAGGAGGTCGGCTGCTGCTGGTAGCGCGTCGACTTGCCGCTGTAACCGGAGCCGCGCAGATCCTCCCGGAAGTGCTCGCCGGCCTCGATCATCGAGACGCTCATGTTGTGGGACAGCGAGTGCTGGATGCCGTGCGAGCCGGTGCCCGTGGGAGCCCTCAGCAGGGCGCCCAGGGACCGCCACTTCCGGTCCTGCTGGCCCGTCGAGCTCGAGGACACCGAGGACCTGGTCCACTTCCTCTCGTTCCCCGAGGACGACGAGAGCGCGCCGTTCCCCACGGACCACTTCCGGTCGTTGGTCGGCGAGGTCACCGACGGCACCCACTTCCGGTCGTTCGACGGCGACGCCATCGAGGTGCTGGACCACTTCCTCTCGGAGACGGTGGCGGTCGAGGCGAGCGCCCGCTCCGAGCCGGTCAGCTGGTCCTCCCGCTGCCTGGCCTTCCACCAGGACGAGGTCGAGGTGAAGAGGATCAGCGCGCCTCTCAGCGGGTTCTGATGGTGGTTCTTCGCGGAGCCGCCGGTCTTCGGCGAGTGCTCCCGGTCCTTGATCTTCAGCGAGCAGTCCCTGTAGTTCGAGTCGCACTCCCGGTCGCTGAACGCCGAGACGTCGCGGTCCCAGAGGGCGGTCTTCTGCGCGGCTACTTCCTCCTCGTGGTAGAGGGTCGCGTTCGTGCTGCGCAGTCGCGGCCTGATCTTCACGAAACCGTAGTCGTTGCTGTCCTGAAGAGACTCCAACGCCTCGACCCGGTGCTGAACGGTCCCCGTCGACTGCTGCAACAACGACGTCTGCCCGGACGCGTACCGATGATGATGACCGCCGCCACCGCCGCCGCCGACGCCGCTCAGCTGCAGCCCGGGCTGCTGCAGCAACGTCGAGGTCCTGGCTCGGTGTCCCTCGCTGCTGGCCGTGCCACGCTGCAGACAAGAGAAGCTCGCCGAGTGTCGCAAGCTCGAGGGCGGGTTTCCCGGCTGACTCACGCCCAACATCTTCCTCCTCTCCTCTTCGACGCTGCTGCTGCTGCTCTCACAGTCTTTCGATCTCTCCGGCTCCGGCTCCGGGTCGGCTCCGGCGAGCCAGCAACCCGGCTACGGAGGTTCCTCGGACGGCTCTTCGGGACGGATTCCACCGCCGCACTATCCGCGAGCTTTTAATCCGGCAGTGATCTCGGTCGATCCAGATCGCTCGGCAAACGACAAGCTCGCTTCCTGGGGTATGCTTCTTCTGCTCGCACTCTCCGCGATCCGCGGTCCGTTCTGCACATCCTCGATGCTTGACGCGTCAACTGGCAGCCTGTCGGCTACATCCTCCTCGATCGCGCTCGTGCCGTTCGTACCGTACGCTGACGGTTCGTACGAAATCTGGAACAGAAAGTAGGAACAGGATAGGGGCCAGCAACTCAAAAGAAAACGTTCGGCGGTAACAAATACGAAGCGTATCAAGCGTACCAAGCGTACGAAGCACGGCGGTGTCTCGGCGATCCTGGTTTCGGGCGGGGCGACTCGGCGGAATTTAGGCGAAGGGGAAATTATGATCTTGCCGCGTTGCGGGGTGCCGCGCGATACCGCGAAGCGCGGGGTTGAGTAAACGTCGAAGTTACTTTTGATGGAAACGAGACGTTCCGATGATCGGGCTTTTTTACGTTGAAGCCGAAACGTTGCGGAAAAAGGTAGAATGTAGCGTGAGAACATTTTTCTTTAAGCTTGAAAATTTATGGCCAAATTGAAATATTCAACGAAATTGTGGTTTATGCGGTGCAACTGTACGATTGGTTCTTTTGCCCGCTGATTTTTTGACAAACTTCTGCGACCAGATTTGAAATCGGCGTGTCAAAATCTACGTGTCGTAAAAAGATGTACAGTAATGTCAAGGTTACTATCGACGCTCGGATTGTCCACAAAAATGGACAATTTGGGAAGAGGAGATACGATTGTTCGAGCCTTCTAGCTTGTTTTTATAGTTGCTGACAATTCGTGACTATAAAAATGAACTGTAAGGATCGAGAATAATCGTATCTCCTCTTCCAAAATCGTCCATTTTTGTGGAGAATCCGAACGTCGATTAGGGAGACATTATAACTATATATTGTATTGGAGAAATCAGAATCTTATCGGAATATTTTAACCTTAACATGAATTTTCAAGGTTGAAAAATGTTCGTACCACGTTCTCTCTATTTTTCTCGTATTCCGCAGCATTTCAGCTTCAACGTGATAAAAAGCGCGTCGCTTCGTCGCGCTTCTATCAAAAGTTCTTCAATTTTGACGCAACTTCGTCGCTTTGTCCCACTGTGCGTCGCTCGCACGAGGCTGTCGGGAAATTATTTGTTGCTTTTGTACGACCTCGGATGATCGGTGGACGTTGACGCGAAGGCTCGTAGCAAAACTGACCGTGAAAGTTTCAGGTCGGCGATTCTAGTTGCTCGCGGCGGGAATCGTGCGTGTAAAACGATGTCAAAGTTCGGATAATCGTTACAGATATTTTACTTGCAAAATTGACGAGTCGAGGCAGCGAAAGGCAAACGCGTATAATGCGCCAGCGACGAAGAAATAGGTAACTACGCGTTAGATGGGAAAATGTGTGGAGACTCGGTGAGAAATAACGGACGGTGACTGCGTCCAGAAGAAATTCCAGATCGACTTTCGATGACTGGAAACTTCTTGTCAATGGGGCACGCGGTGTTCCGTTTACTTTCGTCTTCTTCGCTTTCCGCGCGTCTTTCCCGCTGAAATTCTTCCGTGTTTCAACGTCTCGCGAACGAAAAATAGCTACAAGAATCGTTCGAACTTTGACAATATTTAATACGGGGAACTTTAATTATCGAGGTCGAGGTCAATTTTGCGACAAGCTTTTTTTCGGTCAACGTCCACCGATGCGGGGGCGTACAATCGTGCTGTAGCGATCGCGACATAAAATTTCGTAGCAGTCGGTGCAGGGTGGAAATATACCATCGAGGACAAAGTTAAGCGAACGCAGGCGTCGATCGTCGCTTAAATTTGTCCTCGAATCAATTTTTCGTTAAACTGCGGATCTTCGAGTTTTCCTAGCAAATATTTCCGGATACCATAAATATTCCAACACGGTCGAACGCGAATCGTCAACGTTCCCGTGAATTTTTCTCGAAATCCGCAGTCTAATCGTGGATTTTGAAATGCGATGATCGGAACTGGGCAGAAGTGAAGTATAAAAAAAAATTAAGAAGCAGACAGGCTCTCAGAATTATGACGACACGCGCAGGGAATTAAAAAACTGTATACAGTAATGTCTCTCTAATCGACGCCCAGATTGACCACAAAAATGGACAATTTGGGAAGAGAAGATACGATTATTCGAGCCTCGCGGTTTATTTTTATAGTTATAAATTGTCCACGATTATAAAAACCAGCCGCGAGGCTCGAGTAATCGTATCTTCTCTTCCAAAATTGTCCATTTTAGTGGACGATCCGAGCGTCGGTAAGGGAGACATTACCGTACTTTGGCTGTTAAGCAAAGACAATGTTAATTGAGATAACGTTGAATGTTGCCGACGATGTAAATCGGTATAAATTTTCGAACACCTTGCGAGTGCACGAGAACGATTCGACGCGCGAGAGAACCGTTTCATCGTAAAAAGTTTCTGTTGACAGAAAATACGATAAGACGGTTTCGTATTTCTTCATTCTCGAGACGCATAGTTTCGCTCGGGTGTTCGACAATTTTTGCAAAATGGGCTACGCGAAAGTACGATTCAAAAATAGCATCCTGAACAGTAGAGCGAGATTCGACGAATCGTGTTTTAATATTTCGTATGCAATATCGGTGCAACGCTGACAGATCCATGAAGTGGGAGATGAAAGAACGATGGCGGAGGTAGAAGAGCGGATGAGGCGGTCTCTAGATATCGCTGAAGGACGAAGGTCGCTTCGTGACCGATGCCTAAGGCCAGGCATCGGGATGTCTACCGAAATACTCTTAGAAAATTCGATTTTCCCCTTTGAAACTCTGGATAAATAACCTCTGGGAAAGTAACCTAATACGGTAAATTCTCCCTAATTTCTCTTCAGCTTGTAAGCAAAAATGAACAATTTGGGAAGAGGAGACACGATTATTCGAGTCTTGCTGCTCGTTTGTATAGTTTTTGATAATCGATAATTATAAAAAGGAATCGCAATACTCGAATAATCGTATCTCCTCTTCCCAAATTGTCCATTTTTATTTTCAAGCTCGATTAGAGAGAATTTACTGTACTCTCCTCGGTATTTACTTATTTCCAAACTATTGCATTTTTTTACTCGACGAACGTCGGAACGAAAAACGCAAAATTCGTTTCTCCCTCGAGCAGCACATGCCCGAATACGAATTTCCCAAGAGTTTTCTCTCCGAGTCGGTAGACACCGTTCAAAACAGGCGCCGCAATAAATGTCGCTGAACGCGGGACGACGGAGTTCCGCAAGATTATGTTCGCAGCGAACGTTGCCATGCTCTTCGACTTAAAGACTAATGCAGCCGCTTGAAAAAGAAGCGTGGAGAGAACAACAAAACGGAAATTAAACGATCCAAGTAAAAAGACCAAGGGTAACGGGATCGGCACGGAATCAGGGTCGACTATCTACAACTTACATGATATATTAATCATTTTCCAGTCGACGACGAACGTCGGACCGCGTTTAACGGATATTAATAGATCGCGGGCGTTTCCGCGAATACGTGTCCCCGCTCGTTAATTTGGGCGGACGAACGTCTGTAAGAAAAGATTTCGGCGTCCTTGTTACCGTCGCACGATTCATCGGCGAATCAATTTCGAATTTCGCAGGCGAGACTTTCGCATCGCGATCCTCGCCGTGACCTTCTACGGAGAAAGAACAATGATTTATTCCAGAAAACATAGTTCCTTCGGTGTATTATCGTCGTCTTTCATTTTTGAACTCTTCGAAAGAAACGACGGACAGCCGTGAACACCGAATCAACTGGAATCTAAAATCGTTCGAACAGCGTATTTAGAATGTCCGAGGAAATAATATGTATCTCGAGCGAGTATTTCATAACATCGCGTTTATTGCCCTGCGAAAAAAATATATAGGCAATACCGGTGTTCGATCGCATGAAAAATAAACGAAAATATGAAAAATTTCATCGAGATTTCCATTCGGTTCTACGTCCGCCGATTCGAGTTCGAAACGAACGCGGACAATCCGCGGTCCAAAGGTTTCTAGAGTCCAGATGTTTGTGTATTTATAGCGTCCTGTAACCTGCAAGCGACGAGATAAACATTTTAATGTAGTTTCATATTATACACAGGATGAGCCCATGCAAATGGGAGCGTTTAAGTATCACGACCGTTTATAAATACGTAAAGCAGCTATTTCGAGCAACGTCGAAGCGAGAGCCCGACGAAACAATAAAAGTATATGTCTCAAGGTCCCCGCCCGTTTTACTTTGAACAATTTTTTCGACGCGTTCGTAAACAACGAATGCGCTCGAGCGGCCCGATTTACGAGCTCGGCACCGTGTACCACGTTATTAACCCATCGCCTCGCGATCGCCGCCGCAATCAGCTTCTACAGCGCTAGCTCGCATATGGATATTTACCAAAACGAGTCCAAACGAGCCGTTTCGGGTCTCGCGTTATTTCGCTTCCGATATCATTCGGACACTTTTATGGAACGTTATCGGACGCGTCGAATCTCGCGTGCTCGTTTCCGGTCCAATTAATTGGCATCGCTTAGAATCATTTAGAATTTAAGGTCTCCTTAGAGACTTAGGTCTCCTCGCGAGGTCTCCTTTACCGACGCTCAGATTGTGCAGAAAAATGGACAATTTGGGAAAAGGAGATACGATTATCCGAGCCTTGCGGCATAAACTGTCTAAATAATTGTTCCAAATATCTGCCTAAAACCTCAGCAAATTCGAAGAAACGTTCGGTGATCGATATTTTCAGCATAAACTATCTAAATAATTCTTTCATATATCCGCCTAAAACTTCAGCGAATTCGAAGAAACGTTCGGGTGATATCGATGTTCGCGGATCGCGAGGATCGCGTCGAGCAATCGTGCGAAGGTCCGACGTGCCGCCTGTCCGCCTGTTGGAAAAGAAAATTGAAGGAAGCACGCACGAAGCTGCGTCGCGTCGCTTCCTCGACCTTCGCGGCCGGTTTCCGGTTGGAAACAGCGAACGGACGTCGGGAATTTTGCGGATTCGTCGCTCGGATGCGTCCGGAGCGAGGTCTAAAAGGTATGCCCGGAGAAAGAACGTCGATATCGGACCGATTCGTTCGCATCGACGACGTCGATATCGCTTCGACGACACGGCAGGCGGTGGATGTCTTTGCTGGGCGGGTCGCGTAACTCGAGAAACGAGCAACGACACTGTACCTGTTCCTCGA